CATCTGAAATACATCCACCCAAATGACCTCAGCTGTGTTCAGTTTAACTGGCCGGTGAGTACATGTTCCATGTGCATATTCTTCAGTACAGTTACAAAGACTGGAAATACAGGTTCCTAAACTATTCTCTCCTGAGGGGTAGAGGAAGTCTTGGCTAAAACAAAACTCGGAGACCAGCGAGAGCATGGTAACAGAAACACCTGCGTGGAGCGTGTCTCTGCCATCCACCCTGCGTTTGCACTCGTCCTTTAGTTTGTAGACCAGTGAAAGCATAACTTCTGCATGTTGGAGACAAGTCCTGATTTTTGGTCTCATGCCAACTAGTTTTACACTTGTGTAAATCCATTGACTTCAGTGGAACTACTCCAGATGTGCACTGGGGTGGGATCAGGCCCATTGCATTCAGTGAATTGTCCCAGCGCTGCTGAGGGCAGAATCTGTTCCAAGATTGTCCTCACATTGTGTACATTGTCTTGAATGGAACGACACCAATTTACACCAACTGAGGATCTGGCCCTGTCTGTCAGAATGCCTGTGGTATTGTTCTAGTGAGGACTAGTTCTTAATAATTACCATGTAGATGATTCTGTACAAAGGGCATCACCTGAAATGCATTAGCAAAGTGGAGTGTTTGGGTAACATAACACTGCTGTCTCACAAAGAGGAAAACATTCCTTGCTTTCACACATCACTGCTCCTGTGAGATCCCTTTTGTTGTTCCCATGCTCTGCCCCTCTCCCTTTCTCCTCCCCCATTAAATGAGAGCTGAATTAGACCCCAGAGGTGTTAGAGGATCATATTTACCCTTTTCAGTTTGAGTTTGAATGTTTAGCCAGACGTTCCAACCTGTTTCTTAATCTGTAGTGGCCAGGGCTCGGACTGAAGGAGATCAGTGTCTGATGGGTGTGGAGGGAAGAGGTCATGGTCAGAACGCAAAAGGGGAAGTCAGGAGACCTGGTGTCTGTTCTTGGCTCTGTCAAAGATTGTGTGTACCCTTGGACAAGTCACTAACTTCTCTGTGACTGTTTCCCCAGGTGTAAAATTATGAATCACTGTTAGTTAATATTTGTATTGCAAATACACCCATGAGCCACAATCAGGACGGTGCTAGATGCTGTGCAAATGGTTAGGAATTCACAGTCCCTGCCCTCAAAGCACTTGCAGTATAATCAGACTAGACAGATCAAGGCTCAGAGGAAGGGATGCAAGCCAGATGCAGAGTGATCGGGGCACTGTTGGCAAATGCCAAGTAATGTTCAAAGTCGCATTTGCCAGCTTTTCCTTTCAATCCCAGAGATTTTTCTCTTTTGTTTTGTTTTTTCCTGAGGCTTGAAAAATGCCAGATTTCAGGTTGCTCTCAAACTGGATTTCCACCGGGTGAGAAAAGTCTTGTCCTGGAATCTATCTAGTGCAGGTGAGGAATGACCAAACCTGTGTAGAACTCAAGGATGGGCACCCTCATCTCAGGTCCCAGGGTTTTGCCCAGAGTCAGCAGCTAGCTGGAATCCTTGGTTTACATGATGTGAGAAATTGCTCCTTTGTTAGTGGTTTGTTTTCTTCCCCTAGTGATGAGTCCAGTGGGATGTGTTACCACCCCATTCTCTGGCGAAGTGCTCCATTGCTGATTCATGAAGGGAATGAAAGCACTTTTCATTGCTATGTTTATACAACCAGAGAGACCAGCAAGTTGCAAGGTTAATGTATCAACTGAGGATTATATGATCCTCCCCACTCTTTCCCTTCCCCTCAGTGCCCTGCCAGTATATGGCTAGGAGGTTTCCCTCCCATTCAACTTCTTCTATAAGATGAAGTTAATTTCATCATCTTTCTTAAATATCCTTGTAAATGAGTTTGAGGTTGACTGGAAGCAATAGGGTTTTGAAAAGACTGTGGTAAGGGAGAATTCCAGGTTGTTCCATCTCTCCCCTGTTATCCCAGGCAGTCTTCAGACAGGTCGGGGACTAGGGGTGGAGGGGAGCTGGGGGCTGTCCTAAATCAATGGCTGTTTGGATTCCATTCTGCTCCGCTCGCCTGGAGAGGATGTCTGCTATCCATGGTGGTGCATGCTTCCTTGCTCTCTGCTTGCTGAATGTGTTGGGGGTACCATTGGAGGGAAGGCAGCAGATCATCCATGAATGATCAGAAAGCTACCTTCAAGCAGTCTCTAACTTTTTGGATTCATTGTGTGAAGCTAGGGTGAAGTTGGCCTAATTTGGTTCCCCAGTAGGGCAATTTAATGACTGCTGAGAACGGTGAGTAGGTTAATATGTTCAGTGCTACAGCCATGCATGGTGCTTTAGAAACAGAGTTCAGGGAGGTCTCCGCCCCAAGCAGATTGCATCTCTCCCGTTTAGATGGTAATCAAATGACGGGACATGAGGATGGGAGCAGACAGAGTCGTAACTGATCAATGAAATACTCTCTCTCCTAGGTTGGTGCCCATCCCCATAGTATCTCCCAAGAGTAAAATCTGACAGCAGTGGTGTGTTTCAATGAGGGACTAGAAGGAAGAGGGAAGCGTTGTGGTGGACTGGCAGAGAGAGGCTATCTAGTCATGGGGCAGCATGAACTAAGACATGGAGTTAAGAGTGGGGGGGTACAGAGACAGTGTTAAGGAGCGAGGCAGAGCTCAAGGCCGGACAGATTCACCATAACTCAAGGGAGACTGTGGGCTCATGACCCTCTTGGCAGCTTCCCCTGCTCAGCAGAATGAGCTGAGCTTGGGTAAAATCAGGATCAGACCGACACACACGCTCTCCCTCACCCCCACAACTGTGGGTGTTTCAGAGCCAGGGTGTGGTTTCAGCCCATTCTGGGGAGACGAGGTTTGGATCTGGATCAGAATCCAGCTCTGTGGTTTCGGTTCATGTCCCTCTCTAGTCAGTGCTTGATTTGTGCCAGGGCTGGCCAGAGCCGAGCCCTGGCACCTCTGGGCTTGGCAGTTCAGAGCCCCGGCACCTTGGGGCTGGCCAGAGCCGAGCCCCGGCAATCTCGGAGCTTGGCAATTCAGAGCCCCGGCATCTCGGGGCTTGGCAATTCAGAGCCCCGGCAACCTCGGGGCTTGCTGCATCAGTTATGAATGTAAAACAATTGCTTGAGCTCCGGCACCGCTTTCATTACAAATGAAGCCCTGTCTCTAGTGTGTACTGGTGGATGTCTTAGCTCTGAGAACAAACCAAAAAGTAGGAGTCCTTCTCATGAAGGTAGCGGCCTGTGTGTGATCTGAAGGCTTCCCATATGTTCTCCTCCACCCAGGTAGCTGGACATGCACACAGCCAAGGCATGTCCATACAGACATGCACAGGGCAATACATCCCCAGCCCCTGCTCTCCGGGTCCCTCCACTCCAAGTGAGCCAGCAGCTGTCCCCCTTACTAGCCTGCAGCCACTCACACAATGACTGTCACTGGCTGAGGCCGCTCACCTCCCAGTGCCTAAGGCCCTCTCTATGGGACAGGCCCACACCTCCCTGGGCAGCAGCCTACAACCAATTGTGGTTCTGGGCTCTGGCTGGCTGGATGCAGGCTGATGAGTTGATCCTGCTGGGTCCACTGTGCCCAGCTGGAAAGCCTTCCTCACCTGGCTCTCCTAAATCTCCCATGGGAGTCAAACCAAGCCCCCCTTCACCTGGCTCCAGAGAAGCTGGGGGGAAGATGGAGTGTGGGGTGGGTGGCTGAGCTGGAGGAGAAGAGGGATGGTGTCAAGGTTCCTCCCCCACTCTGAACTCTAGGGTACAGATGTGGGGACCTGCATGAAAACCTCCTAAGCTTACTTTAACCAGCTTAGGTTAAAACTTCCCCAAGGTATAAATTAATTTTATCCTTTACCCTTGGAATATCCACTGCCACCACCAAACTCTAAGTGGGTTTACTGGGAAACGTAGTTTGGACACGTCTTTCCCCCCAAAATCCTCCCAACCCTCGCACCCCCCTTCCTAGGAAAGGTTTGGTAAAAATCCTCACCAATTTGCATAGGTGACCACAGACCCAAACCCTTAGATCTGAGAACAATGAAAAAGCATTCAGTTTTCTTACAAGAAGACTTTTAATAGAAGTAAATAGAAATAAAGGAATCACCTCTGTAAAATCAGGATGGTAGATACCTTACAGGGTAATTAGATTCAAAACATAAAGAATCCCTGTAGGCAAAACCTTAAGTTACAAAAAAGACACACAGACAGGAATAGTCATTCTATTCAGCACAGTTCCTTTCTCAGCCATTTAAAGAAATCATAATCTAACACACACCTAGCTAGATTACTTACTAAAAGTTCTAAGACTCCATTCCTGTTCTGTCCCCAGCAAAAGAAGCATACCAACAGACAGAGACCCTTTGTTTCTCTCCCTCCTCCCAGCTTTTGAAAGTATCTTGTCTCCTCATTGGTCATTTTGGTCAGGTGCCAGCGAGGTTACCTTTAGCTTCTTAACCCTTTACAGGTGAGAGGATTTTTTCCTCTGGCCAGGAGGGATTTTAAAGGGGTTTACCCTTCCCTTTATATTTATGACAGATGGGGCACCTGAATGGGGAGTGAAGGGGACAGAACTGGACCGGCCAGACAGGGGCTTGGTTGAGCCCTGGGGAAAGGAGGGCTGGGTGGCACCGCTGGGTCCGGTTTGGGCAGAGGACCAGGTTCCGTTCTGGCTGGAGGCTGCCCGGTGGCACCCCTGGGTCCAGTCCGGGCAGGGGACCGGGTTCTGTTCTGGCTGAAGGCTGGGTCGCACCGCTGGGTCTGGTCCGGGCACGGGCTGGGAGAGGGAAGCTGCTCGGTCCGGGGAAGGGGGCGCTGGGGTTCGGTTCGGCCCTTGGAACGCGCAGCGAGGGTTCGGTTCTGCGCAGCCCGCAGAGCAACGGCCGGGCCCGGCTGTCGCTGACTGGTGCGGGAGGCCGCTGGGCTCGCTCGGGTTCGGTCGGGTCCCTGCACAGAGCGCAGGGGGGCCGGGAAGGGGGCGGGTCGCGGGGAGGAGGAGCAGCGGGGCGGGCGCTGCCGAGCCTCTCCTAGTTCCTGCTCGCTGCCCGGGCAGCGGGCTCCTGGGACCATGAGTGGCCGGGCAGGGTCCGCGGCTCCTGCCCAGAACGGGTGCCCCGCGGCGCTCCGGGAGCGGTTCCCGTCGCTCAGGCAGGACTACGAGCTCGCCTGCAAGGTGGGAGCCTGCCCCGGCCGCGGGTGGGGAGCTCCGCCCGGGCGCGGGGCGGAGGGGGCAGCCGCCCCGCGCTGCCTGCGCCCCGGGGGCCAGGAGGGGTCGGCGCAGCGTGGGGGCGGGTTGCTCCCCAGGGGTCCCCTGGCGTTGCTCAGCCCCAGCGCTGGCCGGCCCCCCCGACCCGCTCCCACTTGCCGCGGAGCCTGGGCTGGCGGGGGAGCCTCTCCCGCGATGGCCACGCTCGTGTGGGGCCGGTTTTCTTCCCCGTCTGCAGCGCTCGCTGGTGCACGCGGCTCCCCCTGCAGCCCGGGTCCGGCTCACGAGATACGAGCTGCGCTCGGGAGGAAGCGAGCGGTTTGGCGGGCAGCGTGTTGACAGCATCTCTGCAGCGGGGACAGTTGGCGAAGGGCCCAGTGGGGCAGGGCGGGGGAGAGACGTGCTGGGGTCCAGGTTCGCGCCCCCCCCCCGCTCCCCCACGGCCTGTCAGACGCGCCCTGGGTCTCAGGGATCCCCTCCGAAGCTCAGGGTGGGGGTGGCTGCGTGTGCAGAGCACAGGGGGACGGTGCCCTCCCCTGCCCTCCCTTCTCCCCTCCCCGCAGGCTGGTGCTGGCCTAGCCCGGGGGCTGCGTCCAGCGGTTCCCACCCCTTGCAGCAGCCCTTGTAGGGGCGGATACGTTCCCGTGGCCGGGAGAGGGAAGCTGATCCAAAGCACCTCTTGGCTGGGCACAGCCTGAGTAGGTGGGAACCAACCCCAAGGGTTTTGGCTTCATGTCTGACAAGGGCAGGGGGCCCATGGGACTTCACAAGGCAGGGGGAGCAGGGCTGCCATGGAGGCCCGCACCCAAGAGTGCACAGTGCAAGGGCGGTTGGCAGCTGTCAGTTCTGTCCTTTTGCCAGCTTCCCCATTCTCTCTGTCCCCACAGTCAGCTGCCATCAGGCGCCTTCACTGGATGGGCACGGGACCCAGTCAGCCACATGGCAAGGGTTCCCAGCAGAGGTATCTGCTACCAGCCATAAAAGTGGTCGTCCCCCCCCAAATTGGATGTGGTCGTGGGTAGGGAGTTCTGATGATCCACCTCTAAAATTGTCACTGTACAGAGGAGAGGCCAGGCCCCAGCGCATGGGAATATGTGAGCTGGACTTGATCCAGACCCAGCCTGGGACCAGCAGAATAGATGCTCACTGTGCTCCTTGAGCCTGCAGCCTGCAGCTGAGAAGGGTGCTTATCAGTCTTAGTACAGGGAGATGTGTGCAGCCCTTCCCTTTCCTTTCTGGGTCTCGCTATGCTCACAGAGCTCTGCATTTGCATCCGGAGCTGTTAACACAGGGAGAAACATCTCCTCATGGGGCTTGCTTTGCTCACTCCCCGCTGCAATACCTATCTTATACAGCTCCCACTCCCAGAGAACCCAGAGTCTTTGAGGTATTTCGCCTCACAACACCTCCAGGAGGCAGGGCAGGGCTGTTACACCCTCATTGTATGGCTGGGGGAACTGAGGCCCAGAGAGGCAAAGTGAATTGCCCAAGGTCACACAAGAAGTCTGTGCCAGAGCAGGGAATTGAATCACGGGAGGGGGAGGGACACTTCTGAGCCCCCCCCAGCACCCTGGCCATTCTTCCACTCTGCCGAGCAGCTTGTTTTGCCCCTGCCTGCGATTGCTGCGAGGGTTCGTTCTGCTTTGCTTTGGTTATTCCGAAAAATTGAATTTGGCCCCATTTTTTTTTTCTTGGCCACTTCCTTCTTTTCTTTTCTTTTTTAATGCTCGCACCTTCCTCCTGCTCCTTTCTCTCTGATTTTTTGATGGGCTTATGGGGGGAGAGTTTTTTCCCAAAAGCAACCTGGAAACTTTACCTGGAGCAAGCTAGAGCCAGAATACAGTGCTATTCCCAAAGCTTGCCTCTCTTCAGGTGCATCTGCACCAAAGGATTTGGCGACATCAGTCAAGGTGAATTCGCCTGCAGAAGGGTCATTTGGGGACTCAGAATCTTTTGCAGTACAGTTTATTTGCCGGCCCAACAAGAATGATCCCATTCCCCATCTTTCCTCCAGGACAGACCCCTTGTCTGCATGCCTGGGCAGGGACAGCTAGAATGTCAAGGCCTGACTTGCAGAAGCACAGAGCACCTGCACCTTCCATTGACTTCCACAGAGGGTGCAGGGGCTCATCTCCACTGACAGGCAGGACCTTAGACCAGTGGCTCTCAAACTTTCTTACTGGTGACCCCTTTCACATCGCAAGCCTCTGAGGGCGACCCTCCTTATCAATTAAAACCACTTTTTTATATGCTTAACACCATTATAAATGCTGGAGGCCAAGCGGGGTTTGGGGTGGAGGCCGACAGCTCGTGAGCCCCCATGTAATAACCTCAGAACCCCCTGAGGGGTCCCAACCCCCCAGTTTGAGAACCCCTGCCTTAGACTATTTCATTCTCTGCAGGTCGCTTGCTGCAGGCCCTGCTTCGTGTTCTGGTTTTAACAGGGGATGGGGGCTGCCCATGTGCCTGATGAATTAACACCCAGTGACGGCCAGGAAATTGCTGTTATGGCAGAGCAGGCAGGAGGGGATCGCACTTTCTGGGCAGCTGAATACTTGTTAATAATGCACAGTGTTTCTCCTGGCCAGGGTGCCGCCTCACCCTCCCTGGTGTAAAAATGGATGTGGAGGTGCCAATGAAGCCAAGCTGCTGTTTGCTTAGGAGGAGTGGATGCTGAGCTGTGTGTTTGTTTTGGTATCTTGTGTGGGTGAGGTGGTTGGAGCAAGGCAGAGAGTCCTGGGGCTGTCAGAGTTTGCTCAAGGAAACAAGGCGGGCGTGGTAAGATCTTTTATTGGACCAGCTTCCGTTGGTGAGAGAGGCAATTTTGAGTTTACCCAGAGCTCTGGGAAAGGTCCACCGAGCATCACAGCTACATACAAGGTGGAACAGATTGTTCAGTGTAAGTAGTTAACACCTATTTCAAGGGACCATTCAAAGGGAAGTGGCCCGTTAACACCCAGCCAGTCATGGGGGGGTGAAGGAAGGGGGAAGAAGGCAGCTGGGGAGGGGGTTGTTAGTGGGTTATGGATTGTTGTAGTAAGCCATAAATCCAGTGTCCCTGGTCAGTCCATGAGTTTTAGTGCCTTGCAAAGTTATGAATTTAAGCTCCAAAGCTTGTCTTTTGAAAGTGTTGTGCAGGTTTCCCTTGAGAACGAAGACAGAGAGATCAGATACAGAGTGATCGCTTGGTGAAAAGTGTTCACCCACAGGTGACAGGGTGTTTGTCTTGTATCGTTTTCCTGTGTGAGTTCATTCGAGAGCGTAGTGATTGTCTGGTTTCGCCCACATAGTAGTTACTGTGCATTTAGTGCACTGGATGAGGTACACCGCATGTTTTGATAGGCAGGTGTAGGATCCATGGATCTTGAGAGCTGTTGATCACTGGAGCAGTGGAGATATGGCTGCAGGTTTTGCATCTGTTATTCTCGTAGGGTCTGGCACCACTTTGAGTTGGTGAGCCCTGGTCTACGGGGAGCTTGCTTCTGATGATGAACTTGGAGAGGTTGGGGAGTGGTTTGTAGGCCAGAAGTGGGGGTTCAGGAAAGATTTCCTTCAGAATGGAGTCCCCATCAAGTATGGGTTGTATTTGTTTGATGTTATTCTGTATGAGTTCCGGTGTGTGGTGGTAGGTGTGGTGACGACTAGGGGTGTGTGGTTGGAGGGGGTTTTATTTCTGTATTGAAGCAGATTCTCTCAGGGTATTTGGTTGGCCTGTTCCACAATGTGATCTACTGCTCTGGTGCAGTGTCCCTGTTTGGTGAAGGCCGATTGAGTGTGCTAAGGTGTATATCCTGGACTTTCTCCTTGGACCTGGACAAAGGGGACAACAGAAAGAATGAGCCATTTCTTGAGATGGGCCTGAGGTCTTTGTCCGTCTACCTGTGATCTCAGGGAGAAACCTGACGCTGGTATCTGGAGAACTGACTGGAGGGGGACAGTGCCAGGGTGTGTCCCATTCTCTAGGAAGAGATCCATGGGGTATTTGTAGATGAAACGTGTCTAGTTACAAAGAGTGCCAGCAGCACCATGCTCCTGGCCTAGCGCCATTCCGAAGCACCAGCAGAAGCAGCAATTAAATGCTATGTTCATATAGAGGGGAAACTCATTTAGCCATTCCCTGCTAGATAATGGGGTCACGGTCAGACTCTCTAGCAGTGACATCCCTCCTGTAATGACTTCCACCGCTACTAGTTCGTTCTTTCGGTCTGTCTGTCTGTCTGTCTTATTTTGCCCATTGGAAGCTCCATGGAGTCCGGTCACATGTGCTCTCATGGCTGAGTGCTGTGGGAGCGAAGAGAAGGAAACTCTGTGGTGGTGAGATGGCTCTGAACATATGAGCTGTTCCTGGCTCTGAGTGTATTCGAGACCACCACAGAAGCAGGGAGGGAAGAAAGTTAAATTTCTAGGACTCACCTGCAGCTACAGGAGCATTTCCCAGTCTGGGGAGCAGCTGACACTGCGGAGAAACATTGCCTGACTTGCAGAAGCACAGAGCACCTGCACCTCCCAGTAGCCTGTGTTACTGAGGAGACGAACTGCTGGGGAGACCCTGCTTTAAGGGAAGCTGTATCTGAGACCTACACTATAGGGCAGTGTTGCTTTGTGTGGGGTTCAAATCTGTGTTTGAAAGAGAAAGGGAGCTGGGAAAGGAAATGGCTCTGACAAGCTCCAGGAATAAAAAGAAACACCCCAGGCTGCCCCTGACTGTGTCACCCACCACCCCAGTCAGTGCTCCTCCTCAACAGGGCTGCACCATCCTCACCCCAGTTCTGCCCTTACCCTGAATCGCATGCTCCCCCAGCACTATTAATGAGTTTTTGCACCCGTGTTGTAGGTGATGCTGATTGGAGATTCGGGCGTGGGGAAAACCTGCTTCCTGCTCCAGTTCAAAGATGGGGCCTTCCTCTCTGGGACCTTCATAGCCACCGTCGGCATAGACTTCCGGGTGAGACCGCTGCAGCTTTCTGCGCTAGGGAGAGCCTCTTGTTACAGCTCGGGGGATGAGCGTGAAACACCCCTTCTGCCCCGATTCAGATAATCATTGAATAGAAGAGTATTCAGTTAAACTGCCCTGGTGTCTTCGATTGCAGGAGCTATTGCCTGAAGAAAAGGGGCGAGTAGCACTGAGGAGGGGCCCTCTCTCTTTGCCCAGAGCCTGGCTAAGCAGAGAGTATTATGTGAATGGCTGATGTGATCCACATGCTGCTGGGGCTGGAGCCAGTCACGCTGCTGCAGCTTTGGAGAGTATCTATCTCTCCAGTCTAGTGTATTCAGAGGGCACCAATCCTTGTAGTGTGTAGGCCCTGAAAGTACATTAGAATAAGGGAAGAGGAAGTTTCAGACCCAGGTTTTGCTGTCCTGACATGGGCTTTTTTCTCATTATCTTATATTTCCAGCCCTCCGTTTACACTTAGGGCCTGATTCTTCTCTCACTCCCCCTGGGGCGAATTGGGAGTTAGTCCACTGAATTAAGCCATGTTCCACAGAGATCGGAGTCTGGCTCTTTGAATGGAGGATATGTTCTCCCAAAGGATGTATTGGAGATGATGTCGGTGTGGATGGGTGTGCCTGCATGGATGCCGGAGGCTTATCAGTAGTGAAAGGTGAACTTCAGAGGTTTGAGCCAGATAAACGCCCAAACGTCTGGGCTCTTATTCCACCGTTCTGTGAACATTTGAAGCCTGCACAACTGAGCTGGACTCTAGCAATGAGAGGCTTCCTGGGGGAGGGGGGGGGGAAGGAGGAGGAGGAGGATTATCATTATTGATTTGTATGACCACAGCGCCTCTGAGGCCCAAGCCTGGCCCAGCACCCCATTGTGCTAGGCACTTTACAAACACGGAACAAAAAGCTGGTCCGTGCCCCAGGATGCTTACTGATCATCCTTGTTGGCAACTGGGCCAGAAACCATCTGTTCTCCTGGAACCAGCGTCTCTTGCTGCGGCTGTGCAAGGCAGAGGGGCACAAAACTGTAGCCAGAGCGTTACCTTTACTCTTCCAGCCCTCAAATGAGCTTCAGCTTCGGTGTGATGAAATGTTCCATCTGGTTTCTGTTTTACCCAGACTAGTTCACCAAGCCCTGTCTGTAATGCAGGTGTGTGCAACTGATTATTAATGCAGGGTTGTGCCCGCGGCATTGTGGGTCTGTGGGCACTGGGATCTGTGTGTCCTGGGATGCAGATACGTGACCGTGTGATGCTGTGGAGGGTGGTTTGTGTCAGGGAGAGTGCAGGTGTATATGAAATGAAGGTACGTTCTTGATGTCAGTGACTTGACATTTTAACCTCAGGGCTTTCTATATTGCCCATGGTAGCTCTGTGCTGAATCGTTGATACAGCACCATAGGGTTACATGGTGCTTTACTACACATACAAAGATGGAGAGGCAGATTCTGTCCCCTGCCTCAGCCCCTATGAGTTGCTTTGTTTTGACCCCCAGAGCAGCCCAGAAACTAATGCCACCTTTGACTCCATTCCTGTGGATTGGGCCTTATTTTATTATTATTGTTTTTCATTTTTATAACCATAATATCTAGGGGCCCCACATGGCCCAGGACCCCCTGTACTAGGTGCTCTAAAACACAGAACATAAAGACAGTCCCTGCCCCAAGGAGTGTCCAATCTAAGTGTAAGACAGGAGACAATAGATGGCTACAGACAGATGGGACTGTACAAATGAACCATGAAACTCCAGATTGGTTGGCATGGTGGGCAGTTGTCTCTGCACACCAAGAGCCAAACCGTTGCTTTCTGTGGGGCTTCTCCTGGGCATGCAGCACAGTCTCTGCTCCAAAGTTAAAATCAACGTTGAGACAAGAACAACCGGAGGAGACCCTGTTCCTGTCTCTGTGCGTGGCTGGGCTGGGCGAGAGCATGCATGCGGTGTTGTGTATTCTAGCACTGTTGTAGCAGCACTCCATGCGCTGCCCTGAGGCCTCAGCCAGATGCAAGCTCCCTGCTATTGAATGGAGAGCTTTACCTGGGCCTCTCTGTTTTGCATCGTGTCATTACTCTGGTGACAAGTGTTCAAGGCTAGTGTGCTCGTATTAATTACAGATGACCTGCTGCATTTAACCTGCTCATCGGATGCCTTTTTAATGCCCCCACTACTGAGTTCCGCCAGATTTGTCATCTGCAGTCAGGGGAAGGTTTGGCAGCAGCATCCCACGTTGGCGCACCCTCTCCTTACCCATTCGGAGTCTGGCACCACTCTGTAAATATCCACTGTCAAGAGGTGCCCAATCAAAGCAACCAGAGTATCCAGGGCATTCATTAGGAGGGCAGCCAGCCAATCAGAGAATGCACTGGCAAGTGACACCCACCCGACCAGTCATAACAACTGGAGTAAAAAGAGTATCCATTGAGAAGAAACACCCACCCAGCCAATCAAAATCAGGTGAATATCAAGGGCCTGGACAACTGTCCGCAGTATGAAAACATCCCCAGCAAGCTTGTTTGCAGACACAGGCAGGTGGAGCATGGGTCTGGATTTAATGCTACTTGCTGCTTCTCTAATACGTAGCTGGTTGCGGTTTGCAGGATTTTTACTCCTCTCCATTACTGCCACCAAATGAACCCCTTAGGGCTGTGCTAAATTCTCTCCCAGGTTGAGGCTGCACTGAATTTTCCCATTGATCTCTGCTTGCGTTTCTCAAGTGACTGCTTTTGTTTGTTATGTGGGGCAATCTCGGAAATATGTGTCACTCACGTGTTAGGTCCAATCCTGCAAAGTGCAAAGCACCTTCTTCAACTCCCACGTTGATGTCAGCAGGAACTGCGGGCAGTCAGCACCTCCCAGGTTTCAGCCCATCTGTTAGCACCTCTGGCTGCCAAATAGGCCCAGAGGCTCTGAGATAAAAGCAAACCAGCCAGATTGTGCTGCTGGGTGTTTCAAGTTCTTTGACAGGCTGAATTTCAGATCAGTGGAGGAGTGAGAATGTTGCAGCTTGGTGTAAAGTGCCCTGCAGGGTAGGCTCCCTGGAAATACTGGTAACAACCACCTCCTGTTGGTTTCTTGGTCCAAGCTCTGAAGGGGGCTTCAGGAGAGATGTTCTGTTAGATACATTATTACTTCGTTCCATACATTATTATTTCTGGATGTCTCTGTTTTTCAGCTTCTAATGCAATCTGTCTAAGCTATGGTACTTCTAGGGTGCCATGACCATGATGTGTGAGCAGGAATGGTGTCCCTAGCCTCTGTTTGCCAGAAGCTGGGAATGAGCAACGGGATGGATCACTTGATGATTACCTGTTATGTTCATTCCCTTTGGGGCACCTGGCATTGGCCACTGTTGGAAGACAGGATACTGGGCTAGATGGACCTTTGGTCTGACCCAGTAGAGCCGTTCTTATGTTCACTAGCTCCCAATCTCTCCAGATGGATGTTTAAATTGTAGGAAAATGCATCCATGAGGGATGCCCAAGCTGGAAGCTTTCTCCACAGCTGCCAGTTTGAATGTTTACAGTGGGCTCACACCATGAGTATGAGCCGTTGAGTCAATTAATATCTATCTTTCTTAATATCCTGCCTTGCTATTTAGCTGACAGGAGAAGCTGCTGCAGAGAAAGGAGACAGACCTAGAAGAGAGTTACCTGTTACCTCCTTCTCTTTTTGTCTCCAGGCTCTGAATCCAGCATTGCATGCACCTGCATCAGTGGAGCTGGTCTATACTGAACCATGCCATAGGGTTCAAGATGACTATGGTACCGTGGAATGCAGTATGGGGAAGGTGCACCCCACAAAAGACCACACCTGGCTTTCCCACCATATTAAATCAGTGTGGTTTTGTTTTCTCTTACAGAATAAAGTCGTGGCAGTGGACGGTGTGAAAGTAAAATTGCAGGTGAGTCCAGTATCTGATCCTGATGCAGCATGTGCAGTTGATACTTTGTCTGAGGGTGTCTGTACAAATAGGCCATGATCCATGGCTTTTATCTATTCTTTGCCATGTGTACACACTCCCTAATAAGGTTTGGGGGGAGGGGAAGGGAAGCCGATCTTTTCTCTCCCAGCTTAACTCTTGCAGTGATGGTGCACAGTCAGCCAGTGTTTGATAGCTATTAATATGGACATTTCTCAGGGAGAGGTGAGGCCTTGGGGGAAAAGACTGTTCTGGGTGTGATGTGGTACATGATATGCGATATGTGTACAATATACAACACCTTTAAAAACATCCCTTCATAAAGACCAGGGACAAAGGCTTAGTTTTTACCAACCTTTCATGCATTTGCCCCATATAACTTTGGCAACTCGCAGCCTGAAGTCTTGCTTGGGACCTCATATATAATTTAATCCAGAGCTCTGAATCTCTTTCAGACTTGTTTTTATAACCTGGAAATCCCCTCCTACACAAGGAGTGGCATATACAAGCCGTGTGTCCCTGAGTGCTTCCAACCCTTGCACTGACTCTGAGGTCTTGGTTCTTTCCCTTCTGTTATGCCCGGATGCCAACGCTCCCCTGGAATTGGAGAGCTGGGAATGAAACCGGTGGCAGTGGGGTTTCTCCCTTGGTTTTCATCGGGGCTGTTTCTTTGCAGATCTGGGACACAGCAGGGCAGGAGCGATTTCGTAGCATGACCCACGCCTACTACAGAGATGCTCAGGGTAGGTTCTTAGGTGGGTTTGTGGTTTGCCCGATCCGGGGTCAGATGAGAACCGGAATCTGCAGACCTAGTGGAGCTGCTCTTGCCACTAATACCCAGGAACAGAATCTTCATTAAACCCCCGCTTTGTCTCTCTTCTTTTCTTCCAGCTTTGCTCCTCTTTTATGACATCACCAGCAAAATGTCCTTTGACAATGTTCGGGTCAGTATGTATCTCCTTGGACCTCACTGACACAATCGTTAACTCCTAAACCCCCAGAGAGGGGCAGCAGAGTCTCCTCATTCTCAAAGCTCTGGCAGACTGATGTAATGGGAGGGCCTTTCCCAATGCTTGGCAGCTAGCAATGCAGAACGGCCACTTCTCTGCCTATTCAGTTTGCTCTGTGTTACGATGCAATGGGCAACTTTTGCCTTAGTCACAGCGGGCATAGGGGAATCGTTATACTCTGGGTCCAGAACCTGAAATACTGAACCCAATAGTGCAGAAAGCTGAGCACCCTCGGCTCTCCTCGAAACCAGTGGGGCTCTCTTATCCTGGGTTGTCAGCAAGAAATGAAGTTGGGGCCTTCAGCACTGAAAGCAGAGCCTCTGTTGCTCGAGCTGAAGGAGAAACTCTGTTAGCTGGCAACTGTAGTAGACTATTATCCGCTCCAGCCTATCACATTGGTGATGCAGCTGCATTGGATGGCGGTAACATGAGTTGTTAAGTCAGATGGGTTTGGAAGAATTGTTCGGTGCTACAATGTATTGAAAGCCATGCACAGTCAATGGGCACCGAAGGTAGCTGGCACCCTACTAAATCAGGGACCCAAAGGAAGGCTGCCTCTGAATCCTGCCTCTTGGCAGACAGTGTCTTGAGGCTCAGAAATGGGCGCAAGATGGTACGGGCTGGCAGACTCTACAGGACACTGAGGTGCAAAGACAAACCATTGACTAAGGTGCCCAGAGATGAGAGCTGGCTGGGAATTTTTCGATGAAACATATTTTCCATCAGAAAATGGTCAAAACCAAAACTTTTCATGGAGAGGGATCTGTTTGACACCACTTTTGTTGAGAAGGTTTCTCAGGTCCCCGCTGGAATTGCTGGTGGCAAGGGTGAGAGAGACAATGCACCACCCCAGAACAGCAAATAGCCCCATGGTTCAGACACTCCCCAGGAATGTGGATGACCCAGGTTTTAGTCTCCGCCCCAAATCAAGCCAAGCAGGGATCTTTCTTTCTCTGTTTTGGTCCATGAAAAATGTTGAAAAGTCTCCGTTTCTTTCCACATCAGAACAAAAGCAGATTTCGAATCCTTGAATTTTTTCACCAGCCATTATTTGTGTGTCCCAGAGACTCTTGGGCATAAGTGCTCCAAAACTACATGGAAATAGCAGCCCATGTTCCACCCCATTAATCTGGCTGTTGCTATGCAGAGGCCTTCCTGGCTCTCCCCACACACTTATAGTTGCATATAAACCTGCTTGTCTCCGCTGTTCATCTTTAATACCACGTGACCCTCTTCCTCTCTTGCAGGCCTGGCTCACACAGATACATGAATATGCCCAAAAGGATGTGGTCATTATGTTGTTAGGCAATAAGGTGAGTGTCGCTTCCTGGTGGGTGACTGAGAGATGTGCTCATGTACAGCTACTCTCCTTCTTTGTTTTGTGCTGTCTGCCCCCCACCTCAGACCAAGGACACCCCAAATCCGTACAGATGTGGTTCTGAGGCTCCCCCTCTTCATTCAGTGACACCATCTCATGGGGGGGCTTTGCCTGCCCCATTTTGGAAGAACATGATCTCCAACCACTGCTAATCCGTATCAGCTCTGACCATGCAGGGCAGCATTCACACTTCTCCATTTTCCAACTTCATCAGCCTGTGTGGTCTTGTCTGTATTTCGTCAAACCCAAGTACCTATCTACCAAGGTACCAGACAGAAAACTCAGCTACTCCTTGAGTTGTCCAGTAGGCATGGAGGGAAGCTCAAGAAGCTATGATATCCCACAGACAGCGTCACCACCAGGGCCCAAACCCTGGGTTCCACTGTTTCAGGGACCTACGGTGGATGTGACTCGCTGCCCCAAACCCAGAACCAGGCGCCATTTTAGATTCTCAAAAAGAAAAGGAGTACTTGTGGCACCTTAGAGACTAACCAATTTATTTGAGCATGAGCTTTCGTGAGCTACAGCTCACTTCATCGGATGCATACCATGGAAACTGCAGCAGACTTTATATACACACAGAGAATATGAAACAATACCTCCTCCCACCCCACTGTCCTGCTGGTAATAGCTTATCTAAAGTGATCATCAAGTTGGGCCATTTCCAGCACAAATCCAGGTTTTCTCACCCTCCACCCCCCCACACAAATTCACTCTCCTGCTGGTAATAGCCCATCCAAAGTGACCACTCTCCCTACAATGTGCATGATAATCAAGGTGGGCCATTTCCAGCACAAATTCAGGTTTTCTCACCCCCCCCCACCCCCATACACACACAAACTCACTCTCCTCTGGTATACCCACCAAAGTGACCACTCTCCCTACAATGTGCTGATAATCAAGGTGGCCATTTCCACACAAATTCAGGTTTTCTCACCCCCCCCCCCCATACACACACAAACTCACTCTCCTGCTGGTAATAGCTCATCCAAAGTGACCACTCTCCCTACAATGTGCATGGTAATCAAGGTGGGCCATGTCCAGCACAAATCCAGGTTTTCTCACCCCCCCACCCCCATACACACACAAACTCACTCTCCTGCTGGTAATAGCTCATCAATATAGCGCAAGTAGAGTAGGGGCTTTAGGGGACGAGAGCTGAGGAAGCGTTGTTCTAAATCAGCCATAAAAATGTTATGCCATAACAACGCTTCCTCAGCTCTCGTCCCCTAAAGCCCCTACTCTACTTGCGCTATATTGATGACATCTTCATCATCTGGACCCATGGAAAAGAAGCCCTTGAGGAATTCCACCATGATTTCAACAATTTCCATCCCACCATCAACCTCAGCCTGGTCCAGTCCACACAAGAGATCCACTTCCTGGACACTACAGTGCTAATAAACAATGGTCACATAAACACCACCCTATACCGGAAACCTACTGACCGCTATTCCTACCTACATGCCTCCAGCTTTCACCCTGACCACACCACACGATCCATCGTCTACAGCCAAGCTCTGCAATACAACCGCATTTGCTCCAACTCCTCAGACAGAGACAAACACCTACAAGATCTCTGTCAAGCTTTCTTACAACTACAATACCCACCTGCGGAAGTAAAGAAACAGATTGATAGAGCCAGAAGAGTTCCCAGAAGTTACCTACTACAGGACAGGCCTAACAAAGAAAATAACAGAACGCCACTAGCCGTCACCTTCAGCCCCCAACTAAAACCCCTCCAACGCATTATTAAGGATCTACAACCTATCCTAAAGGATGACCCAACACTCTCACAAATCTTGGGAGACAGGCCAATCCTTGCCTACAGACAGCCCCGCAACCTGAAGCAAATACTCACCAACAACCACATACCACACAAGAGAACCACTAACCCAGGAACTTATCCTTGCAACAAAGCCCGTTGCCAACTGTGCCCACATATCTATTCAGGGGACACCATCACAGGGCCTAATAACAGCCACACTATCAGAGGCTCGTTCACCTGCACATCCACCAATGTGATATATGCCATCAGGTGCCAGCAATGCCCCTCTGCCATTTACATTGGTCAAACTGGACAGTCTCTACGTAAAAGAATAAATGGACACAAATCAGATGTCAAGAATTATAACATTCATAAACCAGTCGGAGAACACTTCAATCTCTCTGGTCACGCAATCACAGACATGAAGGTCGCTATCTTAAAACAAAAAAACTTCAAATCCAGACTCCAGCGAGAAACTGCTGAATTGGAATTCATTTGCAAATTGGATACTATTAATTTAGGCTTAAATAGAGACTGGGAGTGGCTAAGTCATTATGCAAGGTAGCCTATTTCCCCTTGTTTTTTCCTACCCCCCCCCAGATGTTCTGGTTTAACTTGGATTTAAACTTGGAGAGTGGTCAGTTTGGATGAGCTATTACCAGCAGGAAAGTGAGTTTGTGTGTGTATGGGGGTGGGGGGGGGGTGAGAAAACCTGGATTTGTGCTGGACATGGCCCACCTTGATTACCATGCACATTGTAGGGAGAGTGGTCACTTTGGATGAGCTATTACCAGCAGGAGAGTGAGTTTGTGTGTGTGGTTTTTGGGAGGGGGGTGAGAGAACCTGGATTTGTGCAGGAAATGGCCCAACTTGATTATCATGCACATTGTGTAGAGAATTGTCACTTTGGATGGGCTATCACCAGCAGGAGAGTGAATTTGTGGGGGGGGGTGGAGGGTGAGAAAACCTGGATTTGTGCTGGAAATGGCCCAACTTGATGATCACTTTAGATAAGCTATTACCAGCAGGACAGTGGGGTGGGAGGAGGTATTGTTTCATATTCTCTGTGTGTATATAAAGTCTGCTGCAGTTTCCACGGTATGCATCCGATGAAGTGAGCTGTAGCTCACGAAAGCTCATGCTCAAATAAATTGGTTAGTCTCTAAGGTGCCACAAGTCCTCCTTTTCTTTTTGCGAATACAGACTAACACGGCTGTTACTCTGAAACCTGTCATTTTAGATTCTGTAATTCCTTAACTTGGTTCTCTGATAACACGTAGCCTGTATAGAGCATTCTTCTTCTTCCAACCTTAATTTCCCTCCTAGGTCCCAGAGGGAGCCCGTGTCAGAGCTGGGAACAGAATCCATGAGCTCTGAGCTCCCATTGCTGTGCCCACGTCCCTCCCTGTGACATTTACCTGGGTTTGGAACTTTCCTAAGAGAACCCGGTGAGCGGTTTAAATGCTGCAAAATGACACTCGTGTGCGTCCATGCCCACTTCTGCCAGCAGAGGGAAGCCCAAGTCTGATTCTTCAGCAAGTGAAGTCAAGGGCTCGGAGGCTCCGTGATGGCCTGCTAGTGCAAGGCTGATCTGTGAGTCTCTGTGCCACTCCGGTAACTATTTCCCTTTGTTTACAGGCTGATGTGAGCAGCGAGAGAGTCATCAGGATGGAGGATGGAGAGTCACTAGCCAGGGTGAGCTGCCCCAGGGTTTTGCAGGGTGTCTGTCATCCCTGAAGGTATCTGGCCCCTCCCTTCATCATCCTCAGTCCCATGTGGGCTATGATCACCTTTGCTGTGCAGGACAGACCTTAACTAGGCTACTCCCCGGGATCACAGAGCTGTTTCTCTGAGCCAATCATCCATCTATCACCTCAGTTCCTCCAGCTCTTAAACCACTTTCAGATTTAGACGTACTCTGGGCCGTGCTTAATTTGTGCCAGGGCCTGGCAGCTCGGAGCCCCGGCACCTCTGGGCTTGCTGTATCAGTTACAAATGTAAAACAATTGCTTGAGGCCCGGCCACTCTTTCATTACAAATTAAGCACTGACTCTGAGACTGTGTCTGGACTGAAGGGATGAAAGTGAGAGAGGTCAGATGTAGGGGAGGAGGCTAGATGGGATGGGAGGGCAGGGAGGGTTTGGGCTATGAGATGCAGGAGGTTGAGGGCTGAAGATAGGGTGTGGGGGCGCAATTGAATTGCAGTGTGAGGGAGGACCCTGAGAGGGCTGCATTGGTGGGAGTGGCGTTAAAGATTGGAGCAGTGTGCAGTACAAGGACGCACCCCTCAGCCTGCCAAGGTATGTGAGAGACCATTAATCTGTCTGCTCAGAGGCGTGGACAGAACAAGGAGTAATGGTCTCAAGTTGCAGTGTGGGAGGTCTAGGTTGGATATTAGGAAACACTGTTTCACTAGGAGGGTGGTGAAGCACTGGAATGGGTTACATAAGGAGGTGGTGTAATCTCCATCCTTAGAGGTTTTTAAGGCCCGGCTTGACAAAGCCCTGGCTGGGATGATTTAGTTGGGGATTGGTCCTGCTTTGAGCAGGGGGTAGGAGTAGATGACCTTCTGAGGTCTCTTCCAACCCTAATCTTCTATGATACGGTCAAATGAGGCTCCACCAAAACATTAGCATCCTCTCCAGATCCCCAGAGAGACCCCTGTTTCCCTCCCCCTCAGAAGGCCTCTGATCTGCTCTCCCCCTTCTGGACTCCTCAATCTTCCTTCAAACCAGGCCTCCCCGGAGTAACCAGCTGTGCAAGTGCATAGCGCCGCCGCTGGTTGCTCTGCCTCCGGTTGCTGTTCCGTCTGGGGCCTCTTCTGGCCAAAGGCCCAGACCCAAGGAACTGGCTTGAATCCCCTGAGATTGGCTTTGCTGGTAGATCGGCGGGGGTGTTTCAGAAGAGGACGGGAGCTAGGGGAAGGGGTAGTAACTGGCAGCGCAGTGGCTGATGGTGCTGCGCCCCCTCTGCAGGAATACGGAGTGCCTTTCATGGAGACCAGCGCCAAGACGGGTATGAATGTGGAGCTGGCATTTCGGGCCATTGCCAAGTGAGTAACTGAAGGACTGAAAGGGCAGCTTCCCATGCCAGGGCTGCCTTCCCATACCAAGGGGCATTGATTTAACATGTGCGTACAGAGTTGGGAACATGTGCCCCTGGAGGAGGGAGATATCTTTGCCTTCAAAGGGAAAGTGTCATCTAGTGGTTAGAGCAGGGGACCAGGGCTCTTGGGATCTACACACTCACTGTGTGGGCAAGCTGCTTATCCCCCGATGGCTATAAAATTGCCCTATCTCAGAGTATTATTAAGCTTAACTCATTGATGTTTGTAAAGCATGCACACCTGGGCTGGTCAATGCGGGGGTCTGATGCTTTCCTTTGAAGCAGTTGGCATTTGCCCAGGGCAGGGACAGATTGCAGGTCTGCATGGGCTGCTGGTCCGCTCCAGTCCAGCACTTCCTATGGGCAAAGTCTGTAACGCTCAGACGCTTTCCTCTAGAGTGGGATATAAAAGCATCAGAATCCCTGAGAGCTCTTGGACCAGAGCCTCAGCTGGCGTAAAGGGGCAGCGTTCCATTGACTTTGGCTGAGGAGCTGGTCCCTTGTCTCCTTTGTCCCCAGACCTTGTTCTGCTCTCCGGCTGGGGAGCCAAGTTCTAGCCCAGAGTTAATTTTTGACAGTCAGGTCACAAGCCTGTGAATTGCCACCCAATGTCCCTGCGATGTGGATCCAATTCCTAGCGGCACTTCAAAAAACCTCACTGCTTTCCACCACCGACATGCCAGATGCAGCAGGGGCCAGGGCAAAAGGGCTGAAAGGGGGCTATGCTGCTGCTAGCCACTGATTCACAGAGGTACTGTTGCATTCCACCACGAAATAGAAAGATCAAAGGCTCCTTGAATGTTATCCCAGTGCTACATGATGCAGGTCCATTGCCAGCAAGTGGGATTAACCCTGTGCTAACACATCTGTCCCATCCGCAGCCCCCAGCCCTCCAAGATACAATTCTTCACGGGGTTTTGTTTCACCTTCCCCTGAATTCATGTTGTTTCCCTGGCTGGAGCTCAGTATCTCTCCGTCAATGTGGCTCTTGGCCTCCTGAACACTGGCTTAAGACTTGGCCAGATGTATCGGCTGGCAGAGAGGACTGGAGTGGGCTGAGGTTGTCGCCCCCATGGCACGTCCTGCTGGGGGAAGTAGAACAGGGCCAGGTCTGCTCAAGAAGCCGAGCCATGTGTTCCACCCTCTCATCACACCCCCTGGAAGAAAGGGAGGTGGAGAGCATCATGTCCACCTTTCTTCAGGGATGCACAGCTGCTTCTGCTGGGCGAGGGGTGGCTGGTGCGATGTTTCACCGCTGTGCTTCTTTCAGAGAACTCAAGCAGCGAGCTGTGCAGCAGCCAGACGAGCCCAGGTTCCAGATTCACGACTACATAGAGTCACAGAAGAAGAAGACCAGCTGCTGTTCCTTCATGTGAGAGAGGAGGATGGCAGGGCAGGAAGGAGGACTTGGGGCACAGGGGCCTGGTATAATGCAAGAGCAAGGCGGGGCTGGAGAGGAAACTGGTCAGAAGACCTTTACAAATATTTCTGGCCATAAATTACAATAGGAAAAAGGCAAACCTACTCTGGGAGGGGGCGGGGTGTGCATGCGGGGGTGTGTGGACGTGAATGAGTGTGGGTGGCTGCGGGGAAGTTACAACAGCAGCCAAATAAAGGCCAGTGCTGGGTTTCGCCTGACTAGCAAATCTTACAATGTGAGAGTCCAACCTTTGGGGAGTCACTCCTGGCAGCACAGCCAAAGCCTGGCCTCTCGGGAGTGGCTTGCATCAGCCTCGCCTGCATAGCCAGGACCCCAGTGATCAGGACTCGGCTGGTTCAGCCTTAAAACAAGCCAGAGTCCAGTGTCTATCCAGACTGGGCCAAGTCAATGTTGGCTGCATTGCCAGTGCCCCATTTTCAAGACGGGACCGAGTCATCCTCAGCAGCGTAGCCATGGCCCTGTATCTATCTGGATTGGGCCAGGTCAGCACTGCTGCACAGCCAGGGTCCCACACCTTCCAGTCCAGAGTCACCACCTTTCTGACCAGTTTCCATGAGACATCTGCTCTGGAGTCTCACCAGGCTGAGGGGGCCAGGGCAGGAAGAACCGTTTCTCTCCCTTTTGCATTAACAGGTGAAGTTTTCCTGCGGTGAATGAAATCGGCAGGAGTGTTTGCTAAAGGAAGAGGCATAGGAGACCTTTTCCCTGTGACAGCTGGTCCCTCCCCACTCCTCTCACCTCCTCCAGGCCCCTGCAGCTGGGCTGTCCCCTTTGCCCAACCTCCTCCTGCCGCTGAGCATGTCCCAAGCAAAGGACTTGGGGTGCTAAGTGTTATTACAGTGCCTGCTATGTTGGAAGAAAGCTGCCGATCGCAGCGTTAGTGGAGAGAGAGGAAATCACTATCTATTTTTCTGACTCTAAAAAGAAATGTTTAAATTCTGCTCTTATTTATATTTATCTCAGGCTAAATTGCTATTTAATCCTTTACGAGAGGCCAAGTCACAGCATGCCATGGACGCTCTCTGGATCCCACCCCTCTCCTGTTCTAAAGCATTAGCACCCGCGCTGCTAAGGTGGGGGTGAGCATGGAGCCAGCATTGGCAGCCTGTGGCCACTTGCTGCAGGATCCACCCCCTGGCCACCACCAGGACAGGGGAGATCTTATTCTCCCAGCTCATTCCATTGCACTCCGCTGGTCGCTCTCCTGCAGATGGAGTTAGAAGCCGTGCCTCTTGCTGTTGAAATAAAACTGCTGAAAATTAAGGGCCTGATCCAAAGCCCACTGAGGCCTTTGAGAGTCTCCCCGTTGATTTCACTGGGCTCTGGATCAGGCCCTAATTGCTGAGCGACCGGGTATTTCGTGCTCTCAAAGGCAACCCCCTGCTGCCTCTCTCCAGGTGTGTTCAAATACCCTTGATGCTGTGACACAAATTGGTCACAGCTGCAGAAGAGGAGGCTTTGACCCTCTCTCCCTGTTGCACCCCCCGCCAGCCTGGCTTTTGCAGCATATGTGGTGCCTTTGATTACGCAGCATTCAGAAGGCCCTGGGGCTCACCAGGGAAACACGGGGCAAATGAGTGATATGGGTCCTGCCTTAGGTTTGGTTTTCCTCAGGAGGGCTCAGGGAATTGATAACAGGGCACAGAGCCTTTGACCTCTAGGCCACCAGCTCAGCTACAATCTGAATTCTTACTGAAGCCCAGGGAAAGATTCTCTCTGGCTTGAGGGAGAGTCAGATGCAGCCCAAAGTTAGCAGCGCTGACAGTGACCACCGTCTGCTGGCTCTGGGGAGTGGCCCGTGTGAAATGAGTCTCTGGCCGGTTCCTAAGAGACGGGTGTGCACAGCACAGAAATAACCCTTGCAATTGGCACCGAGTTGTCAGCAGAGCGTCCAAGCTCCAAATGGGCATGGAGAGCAAGCTCCCCGTTTACTTCCAGGCATATTGATGGGAGATAGTGGGAGAAGGCTCATCACCGCTGCCCATATAGGAGTTATTTTGTTGGTAGCTAGAGACTCTCTGTCTGCCAAGCTCTCGAGCCAGCTCTTCAACAGCTATTCCTTTTTAGAGTTTAGATTTCCCGACTGTGGCCCATTTGCGTCACCTTTACCATGATTTTACCATTTGTCTGGTTTCCATTTTCCTTTCTCTAGTGAAAGTTGCAAACCCCTGGTGATTCCCCGGGCCCCATTCAGCAAGGCACTGAAGCACATGCTTTACATGAGTCCCATTGACTTTGCTGAATTGGGGTCCTGAGAGTGACGGCATTACTCTCTCCAGGTAGCTGTCTTGTCTGTATGTGCAGCACCTGTCTCGTGCCTGTTGTATACAAGGGCATGGAATAATTACCCATTAGAGTTACCGGGCTAATATTTTTTTTTTCCGTATGCTTAAAAAACCGAAAAAGGCCCTGTTCCTCTGGGCTCTGGGACTTTTAAGGAAAGTTAATTTATTTGACCCCCTGACAGCAAAAGCTATGTCTACCCTACAGACTTCTGCCAGCATAGAAATATTGGGACGAGATGTGATCCCTGACCAGCATAGCTGTGCTGGCCAAGGTCTATAGTGTAGATGCAGATATACCCGCAAAACGGTGCTGTTACCCGTCTAGCTTGTTTCACTTGGGCGGTGTGGTTTCACTACACTGATACAAAGCACACCTTTGCTGGTCGAGGTGTGTCCACACTAGGAGCGCTTTGCTGGTATAGCATATGAGTATTCCTACACCGGTAACGTGCTCCTATGTAGACAGGGCCTAACTCACACCGAGGCCAACAAGGCCACTGGAGTGACAGAGGTGAGCAGGAATTGGCTCCAGTTGGTCACATTGGCTATTATGCTCTGTCAGATGAGAACAGACTTTTGCCGGAATAAATATTTCAGCAGCAGGAGCCTCATCACAGCAGTGCCCTGTAATTATTAGTATCATCTAGGGCAGTGCCCTGACAATGCTTAATAAGCCCATTGATGGGAGGATTGACTTAACACTGAAATGCTTTAACTAATAATTAAATGCTCCAAAGAGGCAGCACAAACGTCATTTGTCAAACCAGTGCTGGAGTTAGCCTGTAGAACAGCATGATAGAGGCCTCAGGGAGATCTTTCATGACTGTGTCACTTTCTGATTTGTCCATTACTTGCGTGTTGTATTTTTTTTATTCCTGTGGTTGAATTTGGTCTGTCTTATGCACAGTTCTCCTCATCCAGTCAGTCAGTCAGAGCTTCAAACTAGCCTGAGCAGTTCTCTGGATACAGGGCCCTGCTATTTGTTTCCCCTTGACTTGAAATCTCAGGAATGTTTTCTTCACAGGGTGCAAGTCCGTTACCTCCCCCTATGCTTTGCCAGAGACGGGCATTACCGATTTCACCCTCAGCTCTGCATCTGTGCCCCGCACTCAGCACAAGAAGGAAGACTCATGTGGGGATTTAAACTTGCACCAAGTCTATGTAACATGCTGCTGGGCTGTCTGAAGAGGGAGTGCAGTATCTGGGAGGCTAATTCCTGGTCCAGATTAAGGCTTTGAATCAGAGCAGAGGCAATAACACAGGAGATTTATAAACTCCCACCTATGGATTTTGTTTGCATTTCCTTTCTGTCTATGTATATAATGCAAATCTTTCTTCCTGCCATTGACAGGTATCAGATTAATCCCACTCTGTAAAGAACTGATACCTCAGACACCTCAATCAGCAAACACTTTATATCATGCTTGCCTATGAATTTTGTGGGCTTGATCTTGACCCCTCCAAAATCAATGGGAGTTTTGCCACTGAGTTTAAAGGGAGCAGGAGCAGGCCCTATGTGTAAGTTTTAAAATCAACACTGCTGAATTTATGCTTCATTTTACCCTTTCTTTAGACCTGTTTCTACTGGCATCAATGTCAAAACTCCCATTCAGTTTGATGGGAACAGGATCAAGTCCTTTGTCAATAAAATCAAAGTCACCCTAGCATCCCATGTTATCACATTAGCCAGGATCCTAGAAAGCAAAGGCAGGAAAAAACCCAAAATACTTTTGTTGACTATCTTCTTGTTTACATAGTTCAAGTATATCTGCCAAGTCATGAATGCTATGGAATGACACTGCGCTGAACCATTCCACATGGGAATCTCTGATGTGGCAGGATCACATCCAGCAAGTCTATTCCCTAGCACACATTCTTGAGCTTCTCTCTGTTATCAGGGCGATGTCTTTGTTGTTCATGGATTGTTGTTTGCAAATTTACAGAATTAAAGCTCAGTATTTTAGAGAGTAAATGTGTCTGCCTAATTCTTGGCATGAGCAATTTCCAGCTCAGATCTTTAGAGAAGAGAGAGAATGTTGCTGGGTGGGATCTGCATTGCAATATTTGCTGGGCATTAGAGAAGTAGGGTGTAAAATTCAAGCCCTGGAATCTTTAGTGTGCATTTGCCTAGCCCCCACGATTTCACTGCACATTTCGGAGTCCCAAGGTGACTGGGAAGAGTAAACATGGTCTGTCAAATAAAAACCAACCTCCTCCCCCTGCTGGTCTCATGGTGCAGAGTCTAGCATTCCCCAAATACCTTTGTCTTCCCACCAATGGAATTGCTTCTGTAGATAGGCTGATGCTTGCAAAAAAAAAAAAAAAAAAAAAGGAAGAAAGAAGAGAGAGAGAGAGTTGGTTGGCTTTTTCTTTTTCTTTTTAAAATTCTTTTCTGTTTTGCATCCTAAATTTTGATCTTAACTTAATAAGCAGCTACTAAAAAAAACCCTGACTGGGAAGAGATCAGGGAGGTGAAGATACTAATGCAGCAGTGGTCACCAATCAGCAAAATAAACATTGGTTCAGAGAGCTGCCACCTTCTGCTTTATCATTCAGTTCCTGAATTGCAGGGTATATGGTGTGTTTCTTTCCTTCGTCTGGTGAATTTCATCTCCCTCTCTCTGCACAGTGCTAAAGCCATCCCTGCCACCACTGACTTGTATTTCCTGGCTTATAAAAATATTCCTGAAAAACACATTTTTTGCTTGAAGAATACACTTGCACTACTTCTCAGGGAGAGGGGGTGTATCATGCTTGCAAAGCATGTGTTGTATTTTCCCCCTCTTGTGGCTGGGCCTCTTCTTTGATAGCTTACTGCCCGTTAATTGTGTTACTCATCTAGCTGTGGAGGTCCATTCTACAGTATTGACAGTCCTAGGTTTAAACCCTGCTGCTAACCCTTAAAGGAGGTAATTACAGATGTGCTTCCCAAGCCTCCTTAGAAGGCCTTTATTTCCACTCTGCAAATTACTCAGTGCTTCATGAAGGGCTCTCCTTAGAACTAAATTGGTTCTTCAGCTGCCTACCTGCCTTGTATAGTGAAATGATATGAAAGGTGACCCACTTCCCTAAGGACATTCATCCTGCTTGAATTTTAACTAGCAATGTTAGGGCACAAAGTCCACTTTGCTGGAGTTCCCAGTTGACACTGTCAGCTCTGTGTTGCTGTGATTCTCTTAAGCATACTAGTAATTGTATAAACAAACTGCAGAAGGGTTCATTAAAGCTCCCATCTATTCCACAGGAGCTTCTGTCCTTGCATTTTTAATTGTGTCCACACAGCTGAAGTTGCGGCAGGCCTTCGCTCTGTCCAGCAGATGATGATCACATATGATGGAAAAGAAAGGGGGAGACCCAAAACAACCAGCCAACCTAGATTTAATTTGCATTTTAAATTCCTTTAAAAAAACTGTTAAGGGTTTTTCTGCCTCCCTGTTTCAGTTCAGAGGAATTTCTAGCCAGGCCTCACAGTAAAAGCAAAACCACCCGAGGTGCTCAGACTATTACTTGCTGCCTGGTTTCAGAGTAGCAGCCGTGTTAGTCTGTATTTGCAAAAAGAAAAGGAGGACTTGTGGCACCTTAGAGACTAACACATTTATTTGAGCATAAGCTTTCGTGAGCTACAGCTCACTTCATTGGTTTTAGCTCTGCTGCTGCGGTACAGGTAAGCAACTTCTGACAGGGCCTGGGGGAGGGGATGGGGCATGCACCATCACCAGAATAGTACACTGGACTGCACACAACTGGTGTCAAATGCACAAAATAAACATACTGGGGTGAAAAGTCTAATTTGACTCTTGGGTACAGTGATCATAGGGGTTGCAAGTTATAATAGTAAGTGCAATATTTTCAGATCTGAATGGGATTTTTCAAGTTTTTGGGTGGGAGGGATAGCTCAGTGGTTTGAGCATTGGCCTGCTAAACCCAGGGTTGTGAGTTCAATCCTTGAGGGGGGCCATTTAGGGATCTGGGGCAAAAATTGGGGATTGGTCCTGCTTTGCGCAGGGGGTTGGACTAGATGATCTCCTGAGGTCCCTTCCAACCCTGATATTCTATGATTTCTAAGTTGTGTCCCTTCAAATGTCCTCTTTTAAAATGTTAGAGTCAAATAAATGTGGAATAATGGGCAGGCAAAGACACCAGGAGGGAGGAGTTGAGAACTGTTGTGGTCCATTATTTCAAGATTTCTGCATTCCATTACCTTCTCAGTTAAGGAGAGAGGAACTGAAGTCTAATGGGCTGTCGTGAGCAAAGGAAACTCCATCTTAGATTCGTAAATGCATGTCCCGAGTAATGTTGTCTCTTGAGTAACAGAAAGCTGCTGCTCCCCTTTCACCTACAAAATGAAGCTGCAGCTTCACCCAACTCCCAGCCTCAGTGTTATCCTTAGTGTTTACCAAAAATATGATGTTGGGTTTCTAAAGGCTAAAGCCCCCTATGGGGGTTTGACCACACTAACCTCAGGTTTCAGAGGACAGCCGTGTTAGTCTTATGATGCTATTAAAAAAAAAACAACTTTATTTTTTAAAAAATTTTTCTTTTGGTGGAGCTACAACCAGAAGGAAAGGGAATTTGTGTGGGGGTGGAGGGTGAGAAAACCTGGATTTGTGCTGGAAATGGCCCACCTGTTGATCATTTTAGATAAGCTATTACCAGCAGGACAGTGGGGTGGGGGAGGTATTGTTTCATATTCTCTGTGTGTATATAAAGTCTGCTCAGTTTCCACGTAAACATCTGAGAGGAGCCCGAAAGCCATGCTCAAATAATTTTCTCTAGGCAGCCCTCAACCCAGGCAGCCCACAAAGTTTTGCTGTGTCCATAAAGCCACAGTGTAGATGAACAGACAAAGTCCAATTAGCAGAGTTGCAAAGGGGAACTCAGGGGAAACTGATCTGGAATTTGGAGAAAGGGAGAGAAGTTCTTTTCAAGAAGAAAACCGCACAAGGCTAATGATCCCAGCCTCATCTGGGTGCTCCAAAGAAAACAACCTCCCCCCACAGCCTGTGCCATTACACCCAAACAACCTTTACCAAAGGGGAAAAAGTCCAGCACCATATCTGTAAAGCGGTCAGTCCACATGGAGAAACAGACTAGTGCCCTCAGCAGCTCAGAGTTCATGGTGTAATTTCATCTTCTCTCCCTTCTTCTCCACCTAATTTGACTAAGGAATCTAACCTCTGATACTGTTTCGACTTACGTGATTCCTGTTGCTCTAGTAAACACAGAAGTTCAATTGCTTCTGGAGGCCTAGATTAAAATCTGCCAAAGGCAGCAATTTCAGTGAGTTTGGTGCCATCACTCATCTCTAATGGATATTAGGCCATGTCAAAATGAGAACACCACTGAGAGAACAGGAATAGCAAGACTGTTATAGCATAGGTTTGGGATGCAATGCACGAGCTGTGTGTGTCCCTTAGCTGGACAAGGAGGTGTGTTGGGGGTCAGTAGTGGGACACATCAGGACTGCTTCCTGGGTGAGTCAAAATGTTCACAAATCCTGCAAATGTCAGTAATTTAAGCATGGCTGATGATTTCTCCAGGAATTCATGCCTGATGCCTGTTGTTTGTTACTCGTTGTTCTCCTATTCAAAAACCGCACTTATCCAATCAGAGAGCAGAAACAATGCCATGTGACTGAAAAATCCTATACCCCAGATAGTAATTAGTCAAAGGCAGAATTAAAGCAGATAGTTCAGGAACAGCCCCTGGGACTGAAAGTTGAAACGATTCTGTGAACCGGAGTAATAAAAAGGTTAGTAGGAACCAGGAGCTGTTCAAGATCATTCTGAAACTGAAAAGGGGGCTACGCTTGCAATGAACATTATTAGCAATAAGTAATTCGCCCAGTTCCAAAAGTATGTGAAGCCCATAACTCCCAAGCAACTGGGTCACCACCACAGTCAGATCCAGAACCACTTGTACTGAACAGATTCCGGTGCTGGCAGAAGCTGGTCAGAGAAAGTCATTTGCGAGCTGTCAGTGAGCCGCTTGGGGCGTTCACTGAACAAGGAGGATGAGTCAGCCGAGCCTCTCTTCTTAGCAGCACGTCTTCCCGCTACAGGAATTCTGCCTCCCTGGGAAGCTCCTGCTCATCGTGAGTCTGCAGGGAAGTCTGCACCTGAAGAAGTGGGTTTTTTTGACCCACGAAAAGCCGATGCCCAAATAAATCAGTTAGTCTTTAAGGTGCCACAGGCCTCCTTGTTGTTTTTGTGGATAGGGACTAAGCCAGGCAGCTACCCCCTGATGCTTGGCTGCAGGCAGGGTTACTCAACTTGCCCCCACGCCTGCTCCTCTTAGACTCCCTGTCTCTGATGGAAGGAAGTTCCCAGCTCTGCAGAATCTTCACTCTTGCTACTTTGTGACACTTCTGCTTCCGGAGAACTTTCCTTGCAGGCGCGAGGCTCAGCTGCCAGCCAAGACGTGGAGGGAGGCTATTTCCTGCTATTTGCATAATCCCGCCTTCTCGCGGCTTGGATTAAACTCCCGGGCCTCATGGGCCGCGTCATCTCCCCTCAGCTCCGCCCCCGCCTTACTCCGATTGGCCTGGCGTCGCCCCGCAGCCCTCCCGGGCCCGCCCCCTGCTATAAAGGACGGTGACAGGCTCCGGAACGCGCAGACAGAGAGTGGGGCGGGGTTTGGCGCCCCTGGCTCGTTAGGTTCCGGGCAGCGGCAGCAGCGGTCTCCCTCCTGGCGCGCGGTCTCCCCGCGGGCGAGACACCTGCTGCGGAGAGCCGGCCCTGGAGCCATCTGCCCGGATCCTCGCGGGGCTGCAGCGGGCTCGAGCTCCCGGGATCGCTGCCTCTCGGAGCCGCCGATCTCTTTTTCCACCCTCCCCCCGGCAACATGAGTGACGGGGCGGGGAGCGAGCGGCAGCTGCTGCCCCGGCTCTGCCGCCTGGAGAAGGGGCCGAACGGCTACGGCTTCCACCTGCACGGGGAGAAGGGCAAGGTGGGCCAGTTCATCCGGCTGGTGGAGCCGGACTCCCCGGCCGAGACGTCGGGGCTGCGGGCCGGGGACCGGCTGGTGGAGGTGAACGGCGAGAACGTGGAGAAGGAGAGTCACCAGCAGGTCGTGAGCCGCATCCGAGCCGCCGTGGGCGCCGTGCGCCTGCTGGTGGTGGACCCGGAGACGGACGAGCAACTGCAGAAGCTGGGCGTCCAGTGCCAAGAGGAGATGATCCACGGGCTGCCCGCCGCGGGGCAGGAGAAGCCGGAGGAGAAGAGTAACGAGGAGCCGCAGGAGGAGGCGCCGAGCGAGCAGGCGGAGAGGCCAGACAGGGAGGAGGAGAGCCAGCCTGCGGAGCGGGTAAACCTAGGTCATTCCCGGGGTGGGGAGGGCGAGCCCTTGAGGGGCTAATGGCGAACTGGGGGCGAGGAGAGAGCAGCGAGTAAGCCGCAGGTACTGGGGAGAAGGGAGTGGGGAGACCGCGGGGGCCAGGGCTTAGGCAGAAGGGGGAAGAACTCGGACAGGTTTGGGAGTAAGGGGGGCAGTTAAGGTGCGGGGCGGGCAAGGTTTGGGTGAGTGTGACTGACTCTGGTGGTCCCCTCCAATACCCCATAGAGTTTCCATGCAGAGGATGGCTCAATGCCCTGGCACGGCCATTCTTAGGCGGCCAGATACTGGGCTAGATGGACTGTTGGTCTGAGCCAGTAGGGGCCATTCTTACGATCGTCTCTCTCAGGCTCCCATGGTTCCCTGTAGGCTCTCTGCTGACTGTTCTTGTAGCCGGGGATAACTCCATCCTCACCTTTGATGATGAAATGTGAGGCTGTCCCTTCGCTTCGGCTGGGTGCAGGAGAGCCCTGGCAGGAGGGTCTGGCTGAGTACAGATTTCTGTTGGGGGGGGGGGGGAGAACTTGAGGGGGGCGCTCAGAGAGGAGAGGGGGAACTTTGGGTGGCCAGGTGGTGCCATCTGTACATACTCCAGGAATTTCCATGTTGGATTCTAGCATCTCTCTATCCCCATATCTGCCAGGCACAGTCTCTGCTGTCCTATGCTGGAAGGAGACCCAAGTACCATTTTGTACTGTAATGGGAAGAGCACTGGTACCTTAAAGGGGCAAATGTTTTCTGTGTTTAAAAGTTCCCTAACCTGTCTTAATGGTAGTGAAAGACTTTTACAATTTCTGTCTAGTTTGATTTTAATGCAGGATCCATTCTAGACTGTTGCATTTCTCTCAGCTTTGATAAACTGGTCAATTTCTTCTTAGCTTATCCTTGCTAGTCAGTGTCACTTTCTGGTTCTCTTGTGCTCACAAAATGCAGCAATAGTTGGGTTGCAAATGCTGCAGGGAAATGTCTTTGGGGTGTGGGGGTGAGATACCAACATTCATGTTGCCATGAAATTAAATTCTGTGTTGTTTGTTTGATGTTTTTGTTTTAAATCTCAAGCTTATATTTTAGCCCAAATTTTAACCCCCTTTTAAAGAGGTGCCATCAACTTGAAATCTAGCCTGTTAAATATACTAACTGTCTCAAGTACTACATCTGCCCATAAAGCTATCTTTGTGTAGTTTTTTTACCATCACATTTTGCAATTTTTTGTTAAATGCATCTCCTCCTGTTTGGAAAGTAGAGGTAGACGTATAAATAAAGGGCAAACGAGAGATAAGTGAGGGAGGCAGAGGAATCCAGGCCAGATACCTTCCTCTAGTTTCTTTAGGTTCAAATCCCTTCCTACATCCAAACGTTTTAGGAATACTCTCTCCTGTAGCCATATGAAAGAGTGACAGAAACAGAAGAAACCGATTATATGAGGGAAACAGTAATACTGACTATTCAAAGTTGTTGGTGGAAATACTCTGAAGCACCTATGAGCCCCAGTCATGGACCAGGACCCCCTTGTGTACAAATGCACAAAGTAAACAAGCTAGAAAAATGTAGGAACTTTCCCTACAATTAATACTCTTAAATGTGTTACTTGTTTTACCTGCTGTGGTTACTTTTCACAAAAGTGTCTCTTGTTTGTCTCATTTAAGCATCTCCTGCTCATTAGTAACCCCTAGGTCTCCATCTTGCCCTGTTGCTGTAGTTGAGAAGTAACATTATTTCAAATATCCCAAAAGAATCCACTTTCCTCCCAAGTGTTACAGTGAGGGTGGTATAGTTACTCTTAAAGGTATGGATGTGGGGTCGTGGTTGAACCACATGGGGGAGGGATATTGCCTTCTCAATGCTTATGGGACTAAAGTTCCACTCTTGCATGTATCAATATAAGATTGAATGCTTCTCCCTCTCATTCATATTGTATAGCTCCTAGTTGGTGAGGAGGGAAGAGATGAGGGCTCTGTCAGGATGAGATGGGTCTCAGAGTAAGTGTCTAGGGCCCTTTAACTTTGGGGAACGTGTGTAGCTGAGGATCTAGTTCTTAAATCTCTGGACTTTGTGCCTACCTGCTGCACTCATCAGAAAGAACCAGAGGCTGGTGGCTAGTTAGGAGGTAGTGTGGTGGAAAACTAATAGAACTGTGTTGTTCTTCTCTGCTGTGATGCACGTTTTTAAAGAAACAAAACCAAACACAACTCTTCCGCCAAAACCTCAACAATAGTCAGGCTGCTGGTGTGCTGTGACCACAGTTTTTCATACTGACTAGTATCTTCTCATTGTTTCTTTATGCTTCTCCGTCTAACTAAATGCTTAGACTGTAAACTCTTTGGGGCAGGGACTGTCTCTGTTTTTGCAGTGCTTAGAACAATGGGAGCCAGGATTCTAGGTGCTTCCGTCATAGAAACAATAAAAACTAAATAAAAGGGGAGGGGAATTTTGATCCATGCTGACTGCAAGTCTTGAAATATGGAAACTTATCAATTCAGAAATGTCCGTCTGTCTTTTACAATATCTTAGTAGAAATACAGATGGAAACACAGTAGAGAGAAGATGTGGAGGGGAAGAGACTCTGGAACTGAGAATAATTGCCTTTTACCTACTTGGAGTAGCTTTTAACGGATGCCCTAGCTTCATGACCTAATGAATATTTACGTAATGGAAAAGATGTACCTTGTTGCAAATGTAACGTCAACAGACAGGCGGCATGCACCCAGGAACCTCTGGAGCGTAGTGCATGAGCCTCTAAAGCATGAGCTAAAAGCCAACTGGCTGTTAGCTAAGGCTGTAGAGCAGACTCATTTTATCTCTCTCTCTCTTTCTCTAAGTGGTCTCGGTGCCACTAGATGGGACAGAACACCACACCCAGAAGGTGTGTGGGTTACACTTAGACTGTATGTTTTCACCAGTCTGTGGTGGACCTCTTCAATAGATCTCATTAAATAATAAAGCTGGGTTAACTTCCCTGGGGATGGAGAAATAAACATCTAAGAAATAAATCTTGGAAGAAGCAGTGTCCCTCCTTCTGATCAGGATAAATTTACCTTGTATAAAATCCTATAGTTGACACGGTAGGTGCATTGCTGCCTGGCGTTCAAGGGTGTGAGGAGAGACATCTGGTCCATTGACACTTTCACAGGCCGAAGAAGAGAGTTGAGAGGGCTTAATTATCACACAATTGAGGATATAAATAGGACAAAACGGCTCATCAAAGTGAAGGGTTGAACTATCGCTATATAACCATATTGCTCAGATGTGATCTCAAAGAAGCTCCACTCAACTTCTGAGAGTTGAAGGCTTTCAGCACCTGTAAAGGTCAGGCCCTAACGCTATTTTGAGAGCTCCAGCTCTAGAGCATTTAGAGGTTCAAAGTATGGTCTACAAGGGAGTCACCTGTCAGAGGTTTTGTTAATACTAGAAGGCAACCAGTGGGGGCCTAGAGAAAGGTTCTGGGAGCTTTAGACTTGGACTCTGTGGAGGGATGTCCTCTCACACCAGCTGTTGTATCCGGTAATTAGGAGGAGCAGAGCATTCTTAAAGAGATGATCATTGGAGACCGTGATAGGAGGGAATGGATGGACTTTGGTGCCTTTGCTGAGCTTACATTCTTACTGTTAACTGCTGAGGAATGATAGTTCTACTAATTGTTCCCCATATTGGACTTTAGCCTGGACCCAGAACACATGTTCCCCTTTGGCCATCTGCCCTACTGTGTCACATGCACTTTGCACAAACTGTTGGAAAATTTCAGGCCTTTTGGAGCAGACAGCTCTTGCTCAGACTTGTTGATAGCAAGGTTCTGTTCTTCTGGATATTCCACAAATGGGATTTTTACAGGGCTTCAAGTGGCTTTTGCCAGTCCCTCTGAGGGGAGCGAGAATCACTTCCCCTCAGACTGGGCTGGGGTAAAAGTTTTTGTTCATCTTACCTCATTCAAATGAGAGGAATCTTCTCTTGATGTCACTTAGGAGATGAAGAAAGAAGTAACTGATGTAGTTTGCCTTTCTTTTCTGTAGGGGGCAGAAATCTAGCATTCCCTACCACTGTTCTTTAATATGTTTTAACCATATCAATTGAGTGTCCTGACAAGATGTTTACATCGTGGCAGGGTGCCCAGGGCCTTAGGCAGCTCTGAGTCCTGTTTGCTTTGGGAAAGGGACAAATAATTGTGCTCCATGTGATCTCCCTGCCCGTGGCTCAGCATACCGTGAAGGCCTGGGTATGGCTGAATTATTCATAGCTCTTTGAGGCCCGTGGATGAAAACCCTATGAAAGCGTCAAGACAACGCCAAGCCACGAGATAGTTACTTAACACCCAGCTGTGGTTCAGAAAGCTCTGCTCTCCACAGAATCAGCTGCATTGAGAGAAGAGGGGGGTCCATGAAATACTTGATCTATATGGCACAAGACAGATGGATGTTAGCAGGGCACAGGGAATTTATGTGGGGGAGGTGGAATCCCTGATCAGTGATCATATGCACAGCCAGTGTGATGAGAGCTATCAGGCACTAGCTCGGGGCATGGGGCTCCTAGGGTGGTCTCCTCCTCTGCCCAGTCACTAGCTGTGTCTTGTGGAACTGAGACTGCTCCTGTCACCAGGGTGGCTGACAAAGGAGGCTCAGGAATTGTGATGCAAGCCCAGAGCAGGGAGTTAACATTAGGGCAGTTTCTCTTCCTTCCCAAAAACGGGAAGTACACATGCTTGCAAAATGGGACAGACTCCACGGCCCATCCAGTGCAGCGGAAGGTCAGTGTTTCTGAACAGGTAGCAGGAACTTCTAACCCTACCTGAGCTGGGACTAATACCTCTGGGACCCTACGCACGTGACAGCAAAGTGAAGATCTGTTTGTGGATATTCCCCTTCAGGGTGCCTAAGGAGCTCTTTCCTCAAAGAGCTGCATGAGAGGAAGTGAAGGGTCAACACTGACCTGGAGGCTGGCAGCAGTGTTTTTTTCAGTGCTGGTGGAAGGAAGCTCTCTGC